GGAATCGAACTCATGACCTTGCGCTTGCCAGGCAGGCGCTGTGCCGCTGAGCTAAATCCCCAGCCCCCCAAACAAAGAACATTTCAGTAACCACCCTTATGCCTAGGTGGCATGAAACAAAAATGAAAACCTTTCCAAAGAGTGTCTCTGAAGTGGAAACTTACCAACTTACAGACCCTTTTACACAAAATACATTGCTGCTTGCATCACAAATGCAATGAAGATCTAATGATGGTAATGCGTGGGACGCATCTAGCACAGTGAAGGGCACATAAAGAAATACAGCTTTACTGTGCAGCCCATCCTGTTGCATATGAATATGAAGGAGGGAAGTGAGAGGCCAAAGAGAAGTTTAGGACAAATCTCATCCCCTCTTTCCAATTCCGCCCCCATGTTACCACCACCTAGCCAGCTCACCAAGTCTTCATCTGCAAACCCAAACTGACCTGAGGCACTGCAGCCCCTCAACTGGGCCTCAGTCATGACAGAAGACCCTGCGTCATCCGACGTGAGAGTGTGCCGTGGTCTCCCTCTCAGCTGAATTGTCATCATTCAGACTGTATCCGGAGTTTCAAACACTCTTTCAATCCAAAATACCAGCTTATAATTTTTGTTGGTGCCTGACATAAAAAGTTCTCCAGGAAAAGTAGGATCTGGTGTGAATATTTTTCCTGCTTTGTGCTTTTATTTTTATTTATGGTTTTTCACAAAGAAAAATCTAAATTTTAAACAAATCTGTAAATTTTCCCCTAGCTATTTCTATTGTTTTATAAACAGAAAATTCTTTCCCATCCACAGATGAATTAGTCACCTATGTTTGTGAATCTTATAACAGTCTCATTATTTATGGTTTTTTGTTTTGGGCACCAGGAATCAAACTCACGACCTCACACTTGCCAGGCAGGCACTGCACCACTGAGCTATATCCCCAGTCCTTTACATTTAATTTTTAAAATCGATTTATACTGTAGTTGTTTTGGTGTGATGTAAGATGAAGCTGTAAGTCAGCCTTTTATTTTAAATAGAAACATCACTGTTTATTAATCTGTCCCTGCCTTCCCAATGTTTTTATGTGGTGATTCTGTCTGAATTCCAAGAAGAATGCATCAGAGTCATCTGGGAAGTTTTAATACATTTCATCCTACCTTTGCAAGATTCTAGTACATGTTTCCTAACAGGATCTTACGTCTACCACTCTTGTTCTTGCCCCTACTCTTTCGAGAGCCATTAATATGTCCCATATGCTTTTTTTTTTTTTTTTTTTTTTTGGTCTTTTTTTTGAGACAGGGTCTCGCTACGCAGTTCAGGCTGACCTTGAGCTCACTTTGTAGCCCAGGCTGGCCTCGAACTCGCAACAATCCTCCTGCCTCAGCCTCCCGAGTACTGGGATTACAGGCGTGCGCCACCACGCCCGGCCCATATGCTTTTCATATATCATCTAAAGTCTACTTAGAAAAGCATAGTCTGTTCCACTAAGTTTATCTTTGCATCTGCTCCCAGCATTTTCCTTTTTGAAGGATAAGAATGTATTTTAACATTTGGTAAAGTAAGTTTCCATTATACAGGTTAAATATCCATTTTTTGACGTGCTTGGGACTGGAAGAGTTTCAGAGTTTGGATTTTTTTTTTTTTTTTTTAGTTTGAGTATATCTGCAAAGACTTCAGCGGTTGAGCATCCCTAACCTGAAAATTCAAAATCTGAAACTAAAACTTTTCAGGTTGAGGGGTGTAGCTCAGAGGTAGATGCTTGCCTAGTATGCATGAGGCCCTGGGTTTGATCCCAGCACCACAAAAGAAAAGAAAAGCTCAGTGGTGCAGTGCCTGCCTGGCAAGTCTCACTGTGGCAGCTAGGCAGTTCATTTTGTCCTTGTTTGGTTTTGCATATGTGAGATCTCAGTTGGAAAGAAAAGAAAAAAGAGAAGAGAAGAGAAGAAGAAAAGAAAAAAGAAAAGAAAAAGGGAAGAAAAGGGGAAGAAAAATGGAAGGGAAGAAAAATGGAAGGGAAGGGAAGGGGAGGGGAGGGGAGGAAAGGGGAGGGGAGGAAAGGGGAGGGAAAGGAAGGGGAAGGAAGGGAAAGGAGATTTCAGGTTTTAGATTTTTGGATTAGGAGTGCTCCATTTGTACTTCAAATACCTAAAAATAATTATCTCACTAATATATCTTTGTAGCACCCAGGTTGCCTAGTGAAAGAACTCTAGTTCATGTTGTTTTTCTCTTGTGGACAACTTTGGGTGAGGCTTTGGTTCTGATAGTTGTAATTATATCAGTTCTACTTTTTATCAACAGGACTAATCCATTTTTAAAAGTTAAAAATAAAACCTTCCATACTAGAAGAGAATTGTCCTTTTCTGCTGATGATATCATAGCAATTTAACCCCCACCAAACCTAGCTCTACACAGACTACTTTCCCAAAACTCACAGGAGTACTCGGTACTGAAGTCTCACTGTGGCAGCTAGGCAGTTCATTTTGCCCTTGTTTGGTTTTGCATACGTGAGATCTCAGTTGGAAACTTGTCTGAAAGTCTCACAAGGTGAGGGTATGTATATACTTCAAAATTCATCTGGGCATTTCTAAACCTAGATTCAGGGGAGATAGGAACATTATTCCCTGCTTACACACATCAATCAATGTTCAGTAAGAAATAAAAGAGTATATATAATAAACAACCTTAAATTTGATAAGTCAGTAGCATGTTTTTCTAAAAATGTAAAAATATTCTCAGGATTCAACTTATTTTAAGGCATATTATAAGTGAAACTTCTGTTAGTAAATAGTCCATTATGAGAATACACATTGACTTATATTGCAAATATTTTATTGCAAATAATTTTGTAGCAAGAATTAGTTCAGTATACGTTTTACATAATTTTAAGAGTACCATGTGCAGAGCTTTACAGGAACCATTTCTAATATTAAAAATGAGGTAACTTCTACAACTGTTTAATTTATTTTAATGTTCCTTAAAATAAACAATAATAATTGCTAATATAATTTAACCATTTAAACTGTGTGTTTAGATGTAGGGATACAAAATGTTTACCAGTATTGTGAAACATTTTTTAATTACTGAGACTATAAAGGAAAATCAAAGTTTTCAATTATTTAAAATAATACAAATAGAAATACTGGGATTTCATTTGGGTGATATTTGTTAATACTGTCAGGAGAAAGTAATTAAAATAATTTTTACTTTTGCTAAGACTGTAATTTTTCTGCAGATTTCATACTTGTTTTTAAATATACTTTTGCTTTGACCTGTCCTTTATTCAACCAGTTGTGTGTACTTGCTAAAGTGGGGTTTACTGAGCACCAGCCATACGCAAGCTGAATCTCCTTAAAGTAAATTCAGCTCTAACAGAAATCTTCACGCTCTTTATCATTGATTTCCCAGCCAGTGGCTTAACTTGAGCTTTAAGAAGTGTTCTGACTGTTAAAAAAAAAAAACTCATTCTGTGATAGAAACTTATGAATGAATGTTTGGAATTTGTTGGTCGGTGGCATTCTAGTTCTGTGTCTGACCAAAGAACTGAACAAATGCTGACCAAATTTTCAAGATTTGCCTAACGATGCCTTTCTAGACTGCAATTGCATGATGCTTTGTACAGCTATATCTAGATAGATTGACTAGGAAAAATAGCTAAGCATACCCAATTTGTTTTTTCTTCTAAGCACCTCTTTCTTCCCTTTATCCCTATCTCATTTACCCTTCAATCCATCCATTCCTTCATTTGTTATATATTTATATGACATATATATCATGTATATCATATATATATATATATATATATATATATATACACACATATATATTTCCTATGTACCAAGTAATACATTAAGCCCTGGGGAGTTAGTGATGAGCAAAAGCAAAGATCCTTTTCTCTTAAAGCTTACTGTCCTTTTTTTTCCAGTACTGGGAATTGAACTCAGGACCTTAGCACTAAGCTACATCTCCAGCCCTTTTTATTTTCTATTTAGAGACAAACACTCACAAAGTTGCTCGGTTGCCCAGATTGGGCTGAAATTGTGATTCTCTTGCTTTTTTTTTTTTTTTTTTTTTTTTTTTTTTTTTTTTTTGTACCGGAAATCAAACTCAGGACGTTGCACTTGCTGGGCAGGCACTGTGCTGCTGAGCTATATCCCTGGCCCAGTCCTCTGGCTTTAGCCTCTCAGAATGCTAGCATTGCAGGTGTGTACCACCACGATCAACTGCCAGTTATTTTCTAACATCTATGAAAACTTGTTTGCTCCTTTTAATACTAATCTATCAGTTTTATTTATTGTTATGAAATCTTTTAAACACCTCATATACCCAAATAATATAATGCCCATGTACCTACCACCCAGATTTAATAGACATTAACATTTTCCATGTTTATGTCAATCTCTCCAGATATCAGTATTAACTTTAAGAAAGGATGTATGCTATGTATATTACCATGCATGTTTTGTATTTTTATTGTGCATGTATATATATGAACCCATAAAGAATACATTGTTTTATGTGTTTTTGTATTTTACATAAAATAGTTCATGCAGTACATGCCCTTTTGCAAATCTGTGTGGTTTTCTTTTTTACCCAACATTATTTGTGAGATTTTCTCATGGTGGTGTGTGGATATAATTGATTACACTGAAGTCCTATATGGTAGTCCATATTGTGAATGAACCAATGTACTTCTCCATGCTTTTGCTGATACATTATTCCCAGTTGTTTAGTATTATGAACAGTTCACTGAACATCATTACAAGTTTTCCTGTGTATATATTTGAGTGATTCTGTAAGATATATACCTTGCAATGAACTTGCTAGATCATAAAGTATGCATATCTTCAATTTTACTCTACTGTGTAGCAGAGAGGGCTGAATTTATTTTTAATTCTGTTTTAAGTATAGTTTTAAGTCCTCCTAAGATATTAAATTCTTACTTTTCTGTTTGATTTTTTCCTGACAGTATTTAAATTATTTCCATTTTATCTAAGCAATAAGGATAAGGGTGATCTTATTTTTATTAGAATTTTATTATTTAATCTGTTAATACAGATTTAGGCATAAATGAATACAGTAGCAAACTATACAGGCTTTTAAAAAGACAATAAATGTATATTTTCTGACATTTGAAGTCAGCCCCCAAATCATTTAATTTACTTTAAATTAGTATCAAGTGCTTGATTCTGGTAACTAGTTTAGTGACTTTGAGAGACATTGACACTTTATTTTGTTGTTAAAGCAATGAATTGCACTTAACTTTCTAATCCATGTTAAGAGTGCTAGCTTAACAACATATTTTGACAAGATTTTACATGTTTAGTGATACATATAAGCTTTTCTTTGCCTTGAAATGTTACAGTTAAGCAAACTATCAGAAGTATACACAGAACTTTGAGAAGGTTTGTTTATAAATGCTAAAGCTTTATGCCATACTTTTTTAGACATTCAAAGAATAAGAGGTTAGAGTTCATCACCCTGTTTCATATGTGTGCCTCAAATACCGTTAGGGCTGTGCTGCAGTTTAGCTGCTGCAGATGTCTCATGCAGGGAGTATCCTGGCTTAAATTCTGAAGTACTTTCACTTCTGCTTGCTTCACCTTGAAATCGTCTAAAAAGAAGTTGACACATTATTTTGCGAATATTACTGGACATCAGAAAATACATGACTGGGTCTAAGCAGCTATTGAAAGATGAGAGAACCAGCATGATCTCATTGGTTTTGTGGACAATTTCCTTCCAGTAACAAGATGATTCATTTAGCTGTGAAGAAATGTATATGAATCGAAAGCCATGGTAGGGGACAAAACATATAGTAAAAATGATTAGTACAATAAAGGAATTGCGCGCTGTAGTGGCATATTTACCAGAGTTGGGAAATTTTGACCTCCTTTTAGAAATCCTCAATAGATTTTTGCCAATCTTAATATATGAAAGGATTATCAGTAGGAAAATCAGCCAGAACATTACCACAAGAACAAAGTTAAAAATTGCTTCTCCTTTTGCATTATGCTTATCTCTGTAATGAAAACACATTGTGGAATTGTGCCCTCCTTTTTTAAGTGTTAAAGTAATCATAGTTAAAAATCCAACAAGAGCAATTATCCATACTACACAGCAAACATAAATACTTTGCTTGGTTGTTATTGCCCTCCGCTGTTGTATAGACCGATTAATTTTTATGTAGCGATCCAAACTGATAAATCCAAGCAAAATGATACTGATGTACATATTCATATAAAATAGTGTTCCTACAACCTTGCAGAGAATCACACCTAATGTCCACTTGTTTTGGTTAATATGATACATTATTCGGAAAGGAAGGCAGAAAATGAGCAGAAGATCTGCAATGGCTACATTCAGTAGGTAAATTTGAATGGAATTTCTCTTACGATGGATACCTAGAAATACATAGAGGGCAATTATGTTTCCAACCAGTCCCACGATGAAAATAACAGAGTAGAATATTGTTAGCAAAGTAGACAGTAATCCTTCCTCCATGTAGCAGCTGGTAACATTTGAGGCTCTTGAGAAGTTCTGTGGGGCTTGGTCGCTGTGATTAGTTATGAAGAGCATCCCATGGGAGGAGCAAGGCAAGCCCCCTGCTGAAGTAGTTGCCATTGTTACAGTGTGACTTCTGTCTCCAAGTGGTGATCAAAAAGAGGTGCTAAATGACATGTCCCTTGTGTGTAGTTCTTATAGCTTCAGAAGTTTCCTATAAAAAATGCCAGGCATTGAGTCATTTGCTATTTTAATAACAGCTACATTAACTCAAAGCATAAATAATAAAAGATTTCTTTTCAGATATTGTGAGAAATTACCTTTTTATACTTTAAGCCATTTGAATAACTACACCATGTATGTAGTAGCATCACTAACCTTTCCTGTGGCTGTAGTATACACTCGGAGTTTGTTTCATTTATTATATTAAAATAATTAAACTATAAGATCATTCTTTCTTAGGGAAGTTGCTATGGTAATAGAGAAGGAAGTGAAGAGAAATTATTTTTGAAAGATGAGCATCAATTTCTCAAAAGGTTGTTCCAGCCGTCAGTGCATCGGGCCCACTGCCAGCCCTGCCCAGCTTCAAAACCTCTTCCTGCCTTGCCCCTTCTCCTTGTATGTGGAATTCATTCATTTTGACACACGTTGCCACATGATGTGGGACAGATAGACTGTGACAGTCTCTCATGCCATAGTGAGAATGAGGAGAGGGCCCTAAATTTCTTCCTTCTCAACCTATGACCAAGTAGGGGTACAAAGATCATTTGCGCACAGGAACATGCAATGAACATGACAGACCAAGAGAGCCAGCAACTGCCCCTTGTAGACTCTTGTAACACTGCACAGGAGAACAAAGCCAGACAAAACCAAATCAGGTGGCAGAGGCCAGTTAGCCGCTCCTAACCTAGAAACTGAGTGATAACGTAGACAGAAAATAAAATGTGCAATCCAAGATCCTGAAAGTAACTGAAGCTTAAATATGCCCTGGGTTATTAATTTAAAACTGTTGCTAGAACCTTCTAAAAGATAGTATGTGAATTCTACTTGTTTGTGGAAGCAGAGAATGTTCCCAATGCTACTTGTTACTAGATGTTTCCTAGACATTTGTCTGCTGTGAAGAGCTCAGTCAAGAGCCTATCATAAAAGAGGAACACGTAGGGAAGGATTCCAGAAGGTCTCATCACATCTTTTTCCTAAAGTAACTGCCTTAGTTCTCTAGAGAAGCCTGTTAGTCCGAGTAACATAAAAATGTTTGGAGCAGGATTTTCAAAATCAGACCTAATTAACTGTGATCAAGGGCAAGTAACTCCATCTTTTCTAAGCCTGTTTTCTCTTTGTAAATATGAAAAATGTGTATGAAGAACTTGATCCGACACATTAACAAGTATGTATTCAGTAAAAGTTTTGAGGCTGGGGGTGTGGCTCAGTGGTAAAGCATTTGCTTTGCTTGTACAAGGCCCTGGCTTCTATTTTTTAAAAAAATAGAAAGGAAAGAGGAAGGGGCAAGAAGGAGGGAAGGAAGGAAAGGTTAGGTTTAAAAACCATCTTTTGATTAACTGCATTTTAGTAGCTATTTTATACCTAGTTATGTACTATTTGGAAAATGAACAGAAGGCAGAAACCCTGCTCTCAGTAAACATTTTTGTAACAGTTTGCATTCCAACCCTGAGTGTAATAATATAAAGTAGATCTTACTGACAATAATTTATTTCTTGATTTAATGTTATACACAGATAAAAATATTTGGAAGTATATAGAATTTCTTAAAACTGTGCATATAATTTGGTCAAAAAGAAACCATTTTGGTAGAGAGTACCATTCTTCCAAAGAAAAGCAACTGGCCAGGGAAGAAGAGCCCTGGTGAGAGCTGTCTCCAGAGTTTAGAACAGTGGAGGGAGAAGGGGAGAGGGCCGAGGAGGGAGGGAGGGAGGGAGGAAGGAAGGAAGGAAGGAAGGAAGGAGGGAAGGAAGGAGGGAAGGAGAGAGGGAGGGAGGGAGGGAGGGAGACAGAGTGTAGTCTCTCCTTTCTCTCAAATGTCGGAACACAGATGTCACAAAGCTTGCAGAAACTTACGGCCATGTTTCTTGTGTTCTGATATTCTAAAAGGAAAGGGCAATCTAGGAAGAATGGCAGGCTGCCAGAAAGTGACACTGCTAATGCAGAAAGAGGAAAAGAGTGTGTGTAGAGGGACCTGTGCTATGTGGTTATATGAGGAGCTCTCAGAGGCTAGGGTAGAAACAGCTTGCCCATTGGTGAAAGGTCTTTGGGACAATGTGCGCATCAGAAGTGATGTGATTTTGAGCTCTCAGGTAGCTAAAATGACTTCAAAAACTCATCTGTAAGTGGTGTGGGTTTCTTTTTTCTTTCATCTGGATTTTAAACCCCATTGAGATTAAGAACCAAGTCTGTTTTGTTTTCCTTCGTGTGCCAAATGCTTAGCACAGTGAGTCTTTAGTAAAAATATATATAAAGTTCTACATGTGAATCTTAAGAATGTAAGTACTAGAACAGCATTAACAGAAACAGAACTACATTTGTTGTACCAACAGTGTGATGTGCCTGCCACAAAAACTAATCCCATCCCTCAATAGATATGTAGTATTTTAAATGAAGATTGTTGCTAGTGACCTGGTTCTCTCCCAAGCCAGTAGGGTCTCATCATCTTCAGCAGCACAGTTAGAAAAAGTCATGGGCCAAATGGGAAAAGGAGGAGCTCAGATCCCAGAAGCAAGTTGAAGTCTCATCTGATCCTGCAGATAAGAACATTTCACAGGCCGTGGAGAAACAGGTTTTACCTCGTTATATGTGTCTTCAGAAAGCAGAGCAAGAGCCAGTGACAGAAATTACAAAGACCGATATTGCTTCCCTATAAGAAAATACTTTTCCTTGTAAGATAGAAGGAAAGAATCTAACTAGGGAGGTAATAAGATCTTGCTGCTAGAGATTTTCAAGACTGCCACCAATTTCAAAGTTTATAGAAAGGATTCTCACTGGTGCTCAATCCTCACTGCATATTAGAATTCCCTGAAGGGCTTTTTAAAGACACCAGTGCCTGGATCCTTCCCAAGATATTCTGATGTAATTGGTATGGAACGGGCTTCAGACACTGGCTTCTTTTAAAAGCACCTCAGGGGAGTCTAAAGTAGAGTCAAAATTGAACCCTTGAGCAACAGTACCAAACCATTAACTAATATTTATTTCGCACTCACCATGTACCAGACACTGTATTGAACATATATATATATATATATATATATATTATTTCATTTATATAATCTTCACATTGCCTGTGTGAAGTCCTGAAAGATCAACAGGTTATGATCCTTACCTATAGCCACACTGCTCTTAAATGACAGTGCACAAGTTGAGACTCAGCTCTGACTTTGAGAGCCATGATCCTTTTTGCCAAACCTCTCTCCCTCTTCTCACATCTGATCACCATTTCCTCGGTAACACTGACTTTGTTGGCAGGATTTTGACATGATTCCTTTAATGTTATACACCTTAGTAATTTTAAGAGATTGTATCATCTGGCTTTATTTCTTTGGAAAAGTAATTAATGTTCACTCACTATGTCCATTATCCTAAATAAATAAACCCAGACTTTACAGAAGCACAAATAATTCACTTGAATTTTTATCACATCTCCCAGAGCATATCTTCTCATATGTACTTCTGAGCCTGATAACCATAATCACGATGTTGCTAGAAAGCTGCTAGCACAAAGCACATATCCCAAAACCATTTGCCTCAGCTCTAATCTGCAAGTAAAATAAATAAGTAATAGACAAGGCAACCAGTAAACCTTTCTGGCTTTGCATAGTCTCAAGCTTAAAATGGAATAAAGCAAAAACAATGTATTTGTTCAAATAGTACTATATCATGTAGTACCATGTATCAGGTAGCTAGCATCCAATTATTTATTTTAAAATTAACAGATTAGATTCTCTTTTGAAATAAGTGGCTGGTTTTTGTGTCCTTTAAAGTCTGTTGACATATTGTAATGTTACTTAATATTCTTGAGGCCATTGATTGATATTTTTAAAACTATTTGATATGTTAACAATTGCCAGTGAAGAGAGAAAACAAACCACTGTGTTCACATAGTATGCCTTATATGTGACCCATGTGCTCTATTGAAGTGGTCATGATAGTCTTCTAATAGTAGATAGTGTTTGTTACTTGGCAAGCTCTATTCCCAAGTTCACGATAATGTTAGTACATGTACCTCCCGAAGCCACCCCTCTACCATCCCGAGTTTTGTTTTTTTCCTACTGGCTCACATTGAAGCTGCGATCTTGAGGTTATGAATGGGTAGGACAGAACAGATCCACTGTGGTCTCAGACAAGCAGAAGCTTTTCAAATGTAATTTGGGTATGTTTATGCAAATGACACGTTGCTATGTTAAAACACATACCTATTTCAGTGGTAGCAACCTTTCACTGGGTTTAGTTTGACTCGATAATGACTGAATTCATTCAGGTCATGCTTCAAAAATTGCGATAACTGCTGAATACAGAACAAAAATTAAAAACGTATTACTTTGGAAATAATACTATTAGTAGTATATTAGGTTTTCTTATAATATTAGGTTTATGTAGTAGTATATTAGGTTTTCTTATATTTTCTTAACTGTGTCAAAAGCTTTTTAATTTTAGTTATTTGAATTAACAAGTATATTTTGCTTATTCTTTTCTTTAATTTTTGCCTTATGTCTCAGACATCAAATTTAAAATTTAATTGCTCTAGTAATTACCCTGAAGTAGTGATAATATAAAGAAAATACTATTTTTTAAAAAACAGGGAGATGATATAACAATAAAGTCAAACATTATAGATAATTTATAATACATTAGAACTAAAGTTTTATAGCACCTGAAAATAACTTTTCATTGATTCAAGTAGATCTGTAAATCTTTATGCCACTATACAAATGCATATAAACAATGGGATTGTATTAAAAGTAAATCAAGGCAGAGGTGACATTGAAGCAATTTATTCAGTGACTCTAACAGCAAAGAACTGCTGATAGCAGAGTAGCCGTATCAGCATGAATCATGTTTCATTTTGAATGTTTAGATAATCAAATTTAAACTAAAATTGAGGCTAATTTATATAGTTAAAAGCAAATCAATGCATACTTACAGTTCAGACTTTCCTGAAGTATAAGCAGCTAAACCCCAAGCTTCCCTAGACTGGGCTGGGTTTGTCAGCTGAGCTCTTCATCCGGTCGTGGTGCAATTGGTTGGGTCCTCTTCTTTTTTATATTCACATATGGTGATAAGGTTTCTTTTTCCTCTTTTCTTTCTTTTCTCACTATGACAGCCCTTAGACTCCTTGTAAAGCTATTAAAAGGTCCCACCACCGTGCAACAACTTGAAACTCAAGTAACACATAACTTTAGGAAATTATATCTTATTTATGCATACCTTCCAACTTGAAAATTGAAGAAAGTTTCCCTCACCCCCAAAATTAAAAATTTTTTGTAAATTATAAGCAGAAATAAGTACTTCCTGTCTTTCCTAAGAAATGATGAGTATGTGCTGTATGGACTTTTAAAGCATAAGCTTTAAATTTGTTTCTTTCTGGATTCATTTTAGAAATTGTTACCCACATACCGAATCATACTAACATGAGTAACAACGTTTTTTGCTCTTTGTTTCTTAAGCTTTGTTTGATCTCTACATTATCTTTGTATATTTTTATGTATACTTTTAAGAACTTGGATTTATTTTCTAAAACACTCTTACAGTTTTAGGACTAGATGAGATATGTGATGGTATTCTCCCCTTTTAATCAAAACAATAAATTCATCCAAGTAAATTAAAACAATCTATATTTTAAGGAATATAATTATGGGATTCTGCATGTTTTGTTTTGGTCCTAGTCCAGTATTTAACCAGTACCAGTTGTCTATGTAACTGCTGGCTCTGCAGTTTAGTATCATTTCCCTTTTCTTTGGTATCATTGGGAATGAAAAGTTAGCTTTTATCCTCCCCATAACTGCTACTCTGCAGCTCTGTTGAACTGAATAATATTTCATTCATCTGCTTGTATCTAACATTCTAATTATTTCTCTCCTGAATATTCTCCAGAGCTTTTAGTTCATTATCAATATAACACATGGGACAATATTTTTATTTTTATCTATTAGTACACGTTTGCAGTACACAATGCTTATATTCCTTGTAGGGAACTGGCACATGTACATAGCACATCTTAATTCCTTTTTTCATCCCCTTTCCTCTCCTCCCTCCCCCCTCCCTTAATGTCTTGGGAAACACTTGAAGTCACAGGCATAGGCAAGGACTTTGTGAACAGAATCCTAGTTGCACAGGAAATAGTACCAAGAATCAACAAATGGGATCATAGCAAATTTAAAGGCTTCTACACAGCAAAAGAAATGACAGAGTAAAAAGACAACTTTTACAGAATAGGAAAAATTTTGCCAGTTGCTCCTCAGACAGAGGACTAATATCTAGAATGTATAAAGAACTCAAAAAATTAGATTCCCAAAGTAAAAGACCCAATCAAAAAACTGGGCAAGTAAAATAAATAGACACTTCACAGAAGAAGAGGGACAATTTTTTTTTTTTTTTTTTTTTTTTTTTTTTGGTTTTTCTCCGGTACCGGGAACCGAACTCATGACCTTGCGCTTGCCAGGCAGGCGCTTTTTGCCGCTGAGCTAAATCCCCAGCCCGAGGGACAATGTTTTTAAACTGCTAGAATACAAATATTTTTGTAGCTCTTACTTCCCTCTTAGAACCTCTAAGAAGGAGGATTAACATACTGGCCTGGGAGTGTTTTGTCTTATTGTGATAATGATTGCATAACTTTACATTTACCATCTTAGCTGTTTTTAAGTGTATAATCCAGTAGTGTCAAGTATTAACAGATCACTGAAACTTTTTCATCTTGTAAAATTGAAACTCCATACTCACTAAACACTAGTTTTCTCTCCCCTTATCCCTACCCCTGGCGACCATGCCTGTACTTTCTATTACTATGGTTTTGACTTATTTAGCTACTTCATCGGAGGGGAAGCACACAGTATTTGGCTTATTTCACTTAGTGTAGTATCCTCAAGATTCATCCACATTGTGGCATATGACTGATAAGGCTATATGACATTCTACTGTGTGGATAGATCTCATTTTCTTAACCATTCATCTGTCGGTGGACATGTGAATAATGCTGCAATGAACATGGGTGTACAAATATCTCCTGAAGATCCTTGCAGGACTTTTCTGTGACTAAATAAGTGTTTTCCTTTTTAAGTTTTCTTTCTCATAAAGCCTAGTACAGATATTTCTTTCTATATCATGCTATCTTCCCACACCTAAATCATCCATTTTCATGATGCTAGTTGTGCTTTTGAAGTCTTTGGCTTTCTCACAGCAACCACATTTTCTTTTCAATGTGAGTCAGCAAGGCTACCACCAGATTTGAATACAATCTTTTTCTAGTGCTTTATATGAGCTTTTTCCTATTCATTCTGAACTTTGTACTTTGTCTCAGTGTTTTTAGCTCATTTCTACATAGCCTCTTCCACTTATCCTTCCTGGATGTCTTTTATTGATATTGCAAGCTTTTTATTTATATGAAGATAGAAGTAGAAAACAAAAATAAACCTATATGTTTCTTTGGTGTCTTCCGTTACTGATAGCACCATCCTTTATTTTTCTAAACCCAACCCTGATGAATTCAGCTCACTGCCTCCTCCAGTACCGAATCCTGCTTAGCTAAAGTAAGGATACGTGGGTCCAAACATGCACTCGTCTTGGTTGGACTCCCTGCAGACTCAAGGCCACAAACCTTAAGTGAGCCCCTGTGCTGCCAGCAACCCTGCTGTATTTCCTTAGTGCCTTTTTTTTTTTTTTTTTTTTCTGGTACCGGGAATCGAACTCACGACCTTGCGCTTGCCAGGCAGGCGCTGTGCGGCTGAGCTAAATCCCCAGCCCCAGTGCCGTGATTCTTAAAGCACGGCTTCCAGACCCACAGCATCAGTATCACTTGGAAGCTTGTTAAAAATGTGTTTTCTCGACCTCATGCCAGACCTATGCTGGGAATTCTGAGGACAGGGTCCAGTAATCGGTAAGATTCTGATGCCAAAGTTTGAGAACCACTGCCTTGGTCAGTTTATTCTCCTGATCTTTGAAAATACTTATCACACCTTCATTCTTCTCAGACTTTCAATAACCTCTCTCCTTTCCCACTCCCACCTGATGATTGCTTTTATTCCACTGAGAAAATAGAAGCACCCAGAAGAGAACCTCCCCTGGGTCTATAAAATACGTTATGTGGAAAACTCAAATTGTATATATGTTTTTGTATTTTAAAATATTTATTTTTATATCCTACCATTGAAGGAAAGCTAGTAATTCAGGAACGTAGTTACCAATGAGGAACAAGAGATTGCGAGCAGGGGAAGAAGGCGAAAGTATTGCCTGAGTGGTATTTGTTTTACAGTTTCGACTTTGGAACTATAGCCAACTTTTTTTGCAATTAAAACACCAAACTAAATCTAAATCTAATTAAAACAAATGAACCTTACTATATTACAAAACAAAAGCATAACCACAAGTAGAATTATTTTAAATGATTTTAAAATAGGATGAGGTTTTTGTATATAATTTTAGGGTTATCAAAAAGTTACAAGAATGGTACAGAGATACTTTTCACTCAAATATTAATCCCAAGCATTTTTTACATTTATTTATCCTTCTCAATTTCTCACGCTTCTCTTTTTTTTGTGTGTGTACCGGGAATGGAACTCATGACCTCACGCTTGCCAGGCAGGTGCTGTGCCGCTGAGCTGTCTCCTCAGCTCACTCTTCTCTATTTTTAAGGGACATAATTTATTATGCCTTTGAAGTCCTCTGTATTCACATATTGAATAAAATGAAAGTATCTCAAAAGTGATACAGAGCAATAAAAATTATGGTATAGAAATTATTCTTTCTACTTTTACAGTGAGATTTTTAAATGTTTCAGTGATACACTTAATCTGATTTTTTTAGCACTTTTGCTTAAAAGATAAGCTAATTCAGAGTATGTTGGTATTAAGAAGCCTGCCTGTTGAATTAGTCTTCCACATAAGACTGATGCCTGTAGCTCTGTTTTTAACTACTTCTCCGGGTTACACATCCTTTCTTCACTTCCTCTAATCCAACTCTTTTTAGTCATTTGAAACATAAATTCTTGCTTATTAGTTTTCTGTGTTCACTGTATTTCTCAAGCACACTATGTAACTGCCAAAATAATCCACTTAATGAGAATTGAACATTAATAGTGAGACATGTCATTCTCTATATCAATTATGATTTTAAATAGAAATGATCTTACTGATTTATCTTGTATTTTTCAAAGTATCCAATGATAAAACTTAGAGTTCTTTAATTTTCACTCTAAGAAGCACATATTAATTGTATTAATATGAGTTTGGATGGTTTTATTTTTATTCTCCATGACCTATTCTTAATAAACATGATATTATTTGAAGAAATTCCAGTGAATCCTTTTCCTTGATTCTTCCCATATACAAATTATATTCTGTAGAAGGCTAACCTCTTAAACAAAGAAACTTGCCTTATAATCTCAACATTGATTTAAAAACTGGCCCTCAATTTTGTTTATTCAGTTGGATCTGATAGCATTATGATCCTTCATTAATTTAGTGTATGTTAATAGTATTAATAATAAAATACTTTAATAAAATATTAAAAATTGACATTAGAGTTAATGTTATCTACTCGGTATTTTGCCTGCATAAAAGTATAATAACAGTATTATACAAAGTATAAAAAGGGATAATACATTTGATGCATTAGTCTGTATGTTTACAAGTATGGTTTCTTTAGGAAATTCAGATGAAAGAGTGTGATATTGCATACAGTCACATTTAGTTTAATTTTTATTGCCTTAAAATGATTAATTACATGTTAAACATAAGTTTTCTACAGGAGCTCCAAGATACTTTTAATTGCCTAATTCTTATAGGTTATTGAATAGCTTGAGTAAGTTTCTGATTGCTTGAGACCTCAGAAGTAATAGTTATATTGACTTAGGCTGTACATATTTTCACTGTTCTTCTTTCATCACAAATCTGTTTTGGGCTGGGCTTGGTGGCGCATGCCTGTAATCAATCCTAGCACTCAGGAGGCTGAAGTAGGAGGATCACAGTGAGTTCAAGGCCAGCCTGAACTGTATAGTGAAACCCTGTCTTAAAAAAAAAAAAACTCTGTTTTAGTGGAAACTCTTTTTGA